GGCAGGATTGCTTGAGCCCAGGAATTCAAGAGCAGCCTGGACAATAAGGGTGAGATCCAGGCCCTAAACAAAACAACCCACAAAATGAACACTTCTGCATGAATGCAAAAGGTTTAAAAGCCAAGTTCTGAGAAAAATAATGAAAAAAGTTAAAAGGACTAAGTTTTAACATGTAAAAAGAGGTAAATTTCAGTTTTATGGAAAATTTGGCACATTCCTCTGTATTGCCTGTAGAATTGGAAAGAATAAAAAGTCTTCAGTGGAAACACAGCTGTATTTGGAATTTTGGCATACGCACATGCATGTGTGCGTGCATGTGTATGCAGGTTCTTTTTTCAAACTTTTTATTTATTTAAAAGAAGTTTTTTTTAATTTTTAAAAATTTTATGTGTATGCGTGTATTGCCTGCATGTAGGTAAGTGCACTCATGCCGTGCAATACCCGTGGAGGTCAGAAGAGGCTGTTGGATCCCCTGGAACTGGAGTTACAGACAGTTGTTAGCTGCCATGTGGGTGCTGGGATTTGAACACAGGTCTTCTGCAAGAACAACCAGTGTTCTTAACTGCTGGGCAATCGCCACACCCTATTTACTTATTTTTATGTGTATAAGTGTTTCGTGTGCATGTATGTAAATGCACCATGTGCATGCAGTACCTGAAGAGGTCAGAAGAGGGCATTGATCGCCTGGAACTGGAATTACTGATGATTGTTAGACACCACATGGGTGCTGGGAACTGAACCCAGGTCCTCTACAAGAGCAGCCAGTGCTCTTATCCACTGAGCCATCTCTCCAACCCCTGAGTATAGGTTCCTATGTTACATAGACTGGCCTTTAATTTGCTTTGTAGCTGAGGCTCACCTAGTCTCTTGATCCTCATCCTCCTCCTCCATCTCCCAAGTGCTGGGATTACAGGTGTGTGCACCACAATGCCTGGCTGGAAAGCAAAAAACAGCATGCAGAGAAGTATCTAAATCATAATGTGCTTCCACAACATGGACACACTTGAATATCAGGTCAAGAAACAACATTTCAAGTCTCTTTTCCACTCTTTTCAGTCATGAGAACCACTCCTGACTTTTAACATCAGAGATTAGTTTTTTAAAAAAATACTTTATTTCTAATTTTTTTCTGTGTATGACTGTATTGTCTGCATGTGTGTAAGTGCACCTGTGTCATGCATTGCTCACAGAGGTCAGAAGAGGATGTCAGATCTCCTGTAACTGGAGTTATAGATGGTTATTAGCCACCATGTGGGTACTGGGAATCAAACCCTCTGAAAGAACAGTCAGTGTTCTTAACCGCTGAGCCATCTCTCCAGCCTCAGAAATTAGTTTTGATGTGGGAAATTTCTGATAATATGATCTAGGCCATAGAGAAAAAGCTGTATGGTTTATTGCTCACAATTTGTTGTTGTTTTTTTTTTTGTTTTTGTTTTTTTTTGTCTTTTTAAGACAGGGTCTCCCTGTAGCCCCAGCTGTCCTGGAACTCACTATGTAGACCAGGCTGGCCTTGAACTCACAGAGATCTGCCTACCTCTGCCTCCCAAGTGCTGGGATTAAAGGTGTGCGCCACCACGCCCGGCTATTTGATGTTTTTTTATGTGTTGATGTTCAAATTCACTGACCCCGTATTCCTTTCCCCAAGTGCTTGGATGATAAAATGTTTACTATGATGATGATAACAATAATTATACTTTTTAGATAGGGCCTTATTATATAGCCCATGCTGACCTCCAATTTGTAATCCTCCTGCCTCAGCCCACAGAGTAGCTGGAATTACAGGTGTCTGCTACCACAATGTAGCTACCAATAATATCCTAAAAACTAATTGAGATTGAGCAAACTGCTTGACTTCAGTTTCTGCTTTCTTCTCTGGGCAAGAGTTAAGAATGAAAGGGCAAGTATATAAAGCACTTAGTGTGCATGGTACCTATTACCTAGCAAAGGTGTGTGTGTGTGTGTGTGTGTGTGTGTGTGTGTGTGTGTGTAGTAAGGGACATGAAACCAGGGAATGTGTAATACATATCTATTTTTTTTTTTGGTGGTACTAGAGATTGAATCCATGGCCTTGTACATGCAAGTACTCTACCACTGAACTGTCTCTGTCTCTATCTTTATGTCTTTCTATATTGCACATTTTCAGTTTGCTAATTTTACTACTGTCTGATCACACAGATGGCAAAAGTCTCCATGTAGTGACTAAAAAGTCACCCAGTCCATTGGGAATAAGTATTGTTCTCCCCAATTATATACGGTTTGCCACAGAATTCTTTTATTTTTATTTATTATTTATCTTTTATATTTCCTTATTTGTTTTATGTGTATGAGTGTTTTGCCTGCATGTGTGTAAGTGCACCTGTGTCATGCAGTGCCTGCAGAGGACAGAGGAGGGCTTTGGATCCCCCGGAACTGGCGGTATGGATGATTGTTAGCTGTCATATGGGTGCTGGGATTCAAACCTGGGTCTTCTGCAAGAGCAGCCAGTACTCTTAACTGCTGAGCCATCTCTCCAGTCCAATACTTTATTTATTATTTTTATTTTATATGTATGAGTGTATTGCTTGCATGTAGGTAAGCGTTTCTGTGTCATGCAATGCCTTTGGAGGTCAGAAGAGGATGTCAGATGCCCTGGAAGTGGTGTTACAGATTGTTGTTAGCCACCATGTGGGTGCTAGGATTTGAACCCAGGTCCTCTGGAAGAGCAGCCAGTACTCTTAACTACTGAGCCATCTCTCCAGCCCCTGCCACAGAATTCTTAGAAAAGGTATAAGGGAAGCTGGAAAGATGACTCAGAGATTAAGAGCACTGACTGCTCTTGCAGAGAGGACCTGGGTTTGATTCCCAGCACCCACATGGCAGCTAACAACCATCCACATCTCCAGTTCCAAGGGATCCAATGCCTTCTTTTGACCACCACGAGTATTACATGACAGGTGCACTTACACACATGCGGGCAGTATACTAATAGACAGAAAATTTTTAAAAATTATAATAATAAAATATTTTCTAAAAAGTATAAGGAAAGTAAATTTGTGTTTGAGTCAGCACTAATTTGGTTTGTAGATTTTGGTCAGTCTGCTGAAAGTACTTTGCATTAGTTTTTGAAATGCTATTGGTCACACACAAGTAAGCAAAACTGGTAAAATTGGAATGAAGACAGTGAATTACATTGACGTCAAGTTTCGTGGTTGTCATATTGTACTATAGTTAAATAATATGCACCATTTGGAAAAGTGGGTGAAGAGTATTTAAGATCATTCTGTATGATTTCTTACAATTTCATGTGAATCTACAGTTATCTAAAAATAAGAGTTAGAAAAATACTCATGGAGCTATATACCATGAGCCTAAGGCTGTCTTAAGCTCTGGGAATACAGAGAGAAATAGCAAGATGCATTAATGTGCTGAGATGAAACAAGGGCGAGAAGGGGCTACTCTTTAATCTCAGCACCTAGGAGGTAGAGGCAGGTGGCTGGCTCTCTGAGTTCCAGATCAGCCAGAGCTACATAGTGAGGCCCTGTCTCAAAAAATAAACAAAATAGAGCAAACAAAAAGCCTGCTAAAATACTGCAGTAACTAGCTTGAAAAGATTCACTAAATATAGAAATGATTATCCAGAGAGTCTCCATGTCCTCAAGGAAGGATAATCAATTTCATCTTAAAATTTTTTATTGCATTTATTTTGTTTGTGTATATGGGGAGGGTGTATATGAACCAGGGCACATGTATGGAGGTTGGAGGACAGCTTGTAGGAGTCAATTCTGTCTTTCCACCATATGGGCCATGGGGATTGAACTCACATCATCAGGCTTGGTTGTAAATGCCTTAACCTGCTGAGCCATCTTGCTGACCCTCGGTCAGCATTTTTAAAAGATATTGACATACACACAAATTAGTAAGCAGCAATCCTTTGGCGTTTGGACTAAGTAAAAGGAATACTGTCCTTTCCATGAGGGCTGTCCGATGTTGGAATGGGACCACAGAATGGGAAGAGTGACATCCTACCATGAAATCTGTAAGGAGGCTGCATTCACATCTCTCTTTGCAATTTTAGATGTGCTTCTTCCCTGAAAAGAACTATATAATCTCATATGTTTTTATGATCCAGAGAAACTTTTATATTTTATATATCCAGATTATAATTTCTTTTGATGGTGTTGGATTCCTTTTTATTTACTAGAATTAAACATACATGACCCTCAGCTGATAGAGTAGAATTCATCTTCCAAGGGAGTATTCAAATTTTTTTTCAATATGATACATATTTACAAATATTTTTAATTTCCTGATATGGATCAGGTAGAGAGGGGCAGGCTGTTGTCTTCAGAACAAAAATTAACTGCATGCTGATTAATGTAGCATATAATCTATTGCTTAAATTAGGACACTTAAAAATTTGAAGCCTTTATATTGAGGTTTAATATACATGCATAAAATCATACATTTTTGTACAATTTAAAAATATATTCACTCTCTTTATTGTATATTATTGCATAGCATGGATAGATCTAGTTCATGTATTGATGATAAGCATTTGGGGATTTTCCAGGGTTTGGCTTACTACAGATAGTGCTGCTAGCAATATTGTAGCGTGTGTCTCCTGGTGAATGTATAAATGCATTTCTTTTGGACCTACACTCAGGAGTGAGATGGTAGCCCAGGAGGTTGAAAAGGAAGGCTGGGAGGTAGGTATAATAAGGGGAAGCAGGAAGAAGCAGAAACTAAGTAAAAACATTTGTCCAAAGGCACTGTCCAGTGGGTCAAATGGTTTGCTTTGTGTTAATTTTTTAAAATGCATTATTTCAGGTAGGCATGGTTATTCATGCTCACTTTTAATCCCTGTGAGATGGAGACCAGCCTGGTCTTCATATAGAGTTCCAGGCCAGCTGGGGCTACAGGGACACTCTAAAAATAACCTAACAGAATGAATGAATGAATGAATGAATGAATGAATGAATAGTAAACAAATAAATAGTTAAATAATTACATTGTTTCCTTAGCCATCATCGTGTACAGACTGCCATGGACCTGGAAGTGCAGCAAGCTCCTGATGAAGTCCATCCACGCAGGGTTAAATGCCGTGGCTGCCATCCTTGCCATCATCGCTGTGGTGGCTGTGTTTGATTACCACAGTGTCCAAAGAATCCCCCACATGTACAGTCTGCACAGCTGGGTGGGACTGACAGCTGTCATCCTCTACGTCCTACAGGTCAGAGTCTTGCTGTATTTATAAACAAGGTGTGAAAAGTAAAAGAGTTTGGAGACTGTAGCTGTTTTCTAAGCACTGTTATTCATCTCCATAATAGCGCTTTGTCTGAGGGGACGCTGAACTGCAGAATTCACAGTCTAGGAGTGTGGATGTAAGATTTCTAATTTGGACATCTGTAGGTAGGGAACTGTGATCTAACATCAAGGCTAGCACTGGGCTTTGATTTGCCTACTGAGTAAACAGGGATAGGCAAGAGCTATGGGTTTCTTTACCACATTCTCTGCTACTTTTCTAGATTAACTTTTATGAACAATGTGACTAATTTTTAACTTTTTGCTAGATTTCAAAGGAGTAATGATTAGTTACCATTAATTAATTAATTTGGTGTGTGTGTGTGTGTGTGTGTGCCTGTGCCACAGCAGCAATGTAGCAGTCAGGGGGCAATTTGTGGGAGTCAGTTCTCTCCTTCCACCATGTGGGTCCTGGGGATGGAACTTAGACTGTCAGGCTTGCAACAAGTGCCTTTACCTGCAGAGCCATCTTGCCAGCCCTTCCTTTTACTTTTTATAGACTGTGATAGTTATTCAGCAGTTTTAGTCACTAAAGTAAAGATTAATGTTCTGAGTCTTTTGGGTCTTCACCACTTGGTTGAAAAATCTTTGTAAACCATATTGACTCATTTTCCTTCCTTAGTACAGTATATATTCAACTTCCTGGTTGGGACATCATTGTGAATTTTACTTTTCTGTGGCTATAGGAGTAAGGTACTGGAGTGGATACACAAAACCTGGCTTATCCTAAACACATGGCCCTTTTAAAAAGTAGGATCTCTTACCAGACATTTGTCATTTTTCTTCTTAAAGAAAGCTTTTGAAAATCTCAAAACATGATGAATTTTCATTAAATAAGGATTAGCCAGGCATGCTGGTGCACACCTTTGATCCCAGCACTCAGGAGGTAGAAGCAAGTGGATCTCTGTGAGTTCAAGGGCAGCCTGGTCTACATAGTGAGTTCCAGGTCAGCTGGGGTTACAGGGAGACCTGACTCAAAAAAAATTAATCTCTATAGACTTTCTCAGTTATTTAAGTCCACATTAGCTAGCCAGGAGGTAGGGTTAGGAATGGAAAAGAATCAGACAGGAGGAAGACATAGACAAAACCGAACAAGGAAAATAGCTCTAATTGGATGGCTGAGATCACTGATCCTCAGGTTCATTTCCCTCAGTGTTCGCACCAATGGGTCATATCTGGGAGGTAGGTTCCTCCTTTGCCACCATGGTGGGTCTTCTCCCCTTAGGAGTGATGATGATAAGGGCAGGAGCCATAGGGATTTGTCCATTTTCGGGGACCTATGTGGCATGCTGGCATCTCTGTAAGACTCTTGTCAGCTCCATATTCTGCTTCTAAAGGTAGTTCCCTTGGCTTTCCCTATTCCAAGGCAGAAGACAGAATGCAGCTATAGCCTGCATGTTGCCAAGCATTCTACGCACCTCCCTTCTTCCTTCAGGTGAGGTGTCTGGTACAGATGCTGAGGGCACAGGGGAAGTAACCTTCCTAGAATTCATGGCTAGTAACAGCTGGAACTCAGGCCCCAGCAATATTTGGTTCCATTATTTCCGTGACTCCCAGACTGACTGCCCAGCTTGTGTGTGAGCATCCTCAGTGAAGGACTGTGCCTCTGAGGGTCAGACTGAAACCACAAAAATTAGTATTTGGATTCCTATAAAGGTCTTTGTATACTGTACAGCTTTAGTTTTAGTTTTGGTTTACTATTTGCCTCATCACACATATGGTAACAGGCTCCACTTTGTAGATGAAGTGCACTGGCCCTGCATTTCTGAGTGCCATAGTTAAAATGGACTGAGCAAGATGCCTTTGCTTACTTACATGCCGACATGCTCAGACATCTGGAAAGATATGCACTAGATATGTTAGAAGAGGTTCTTTCTTGTGGCTGCTTTCCAGTCAGCTATTTTTCTTGTTTTACTTCTTGTTTCTTCTAATATTTCTTTAAAATTTTTTAAAAATTATTTTTATGTGTATGAATGTGCTACCTGCATGTATGTAAGTGTACCCATGTTGTGCAATGCCACTGAGATCAGAAGAGGGTGTTGGATCCCCTGGAACTGGAGTTAAGAACAGTTCTTAGCTGCCATGTGAGTGGTGGGAATCAAACCCAGGTCCTCTGCAAGAGCAGTCTGTGCTCTTAACTGCTGAGCAGTCAGTGCTCTTAACTCCAGTCCCTCTTCTAATATTTCTTTAGCACATCTACTTCTTCCATAATAGTGAGTAAATAAATAATAAAATGAATCAATAGATCTGTAAATATTTTCTTTATTAGACATGCCTTCTAATCAGATTTCTCTTTTTTAAAACCCTCTATTATTTCTTCTGTATCATAATATGTAAAATTAAGGGTATTTAGAAATTAAGCAAAAAGAGAATACTTATTCTAAACCCTAAGAGAGCCTCTCTCACTCTCTCTCTCTGTCTCTCTGTCTCTTTTTCTCTCAGATAGAATCTCATGTAGCCCAGGCTGGCCTCAAACTCGCTATATAGCTAAGACTGACTTTGAACTCCTGATCCTCTGGTTTCTATCTCCCAAGTACCAAGATTATAGGTAGGTGTGTACCACATACCTGGCTTAAACATCCATGAAATAACTAAAATGAGTTTCAAAGGAATATAAACTTAAATGCTTTTATTATTTTATATTTAATTTTTATTTATTTTTATTTTATGTGTATGAGTGTTTTGCCTGCATGTATGTAAGTGCACCCGTGTTTTACAAAGCCCATGGAGACCAGAAGAAGGTATCAGATTTCCTGGAACTGGAGTTATGGGTAGTTGTTAGCCAACATGTGGGTTCTGGGAACTGAACTTGGGTTCTTTGCAAGAACAGCCAGTGCTCTTAACCACTGAGCCATCTCTCCAGCCCCAAAAGGGAAGCCAAAGAGACAGCGCTCATTTGTGGGTGCTGGGAACTGAACCTCTGTTGTTTTGGTGGTTGGTCTTAACCTTTAACAACTATGCCATTTTATTTTTTGAAAGAAAGTTTTAAATACATAAACTATTCATTTAAGAAACTTAAGGAAAATAATTTATCACGGACAAAAATTCTACAAATAATTCTATTTGTTTTCTACTCTTGCCATAACAAATTACTACAGACTTAAATAATTACTACAAGCAAAAATAAAAGGGCTCAGTCAATCCGGGATAATCTCCCAATTATAAAGTCTGTAATCTTATTTACATCTACGAAGTACTTTTTTGCAGTATTGTGTAGTATAGTCATGAGATCTTTAGATTATGGTATGGACATCTTTGACTTAGGGGCATGATTTCACTCACCATAACTATAATAAAAAAGGAAAGAAAATATAAACGAAATGAAAACTAGTTGTTTAAGCATAAAATAATAAAACAGATAAACCATAGCAAGCCTGACTAATAAAACCCCAAATATACAATTCAGAATGAGAAAGATATAATCATAGACACAAATGATGCTGTTAGGACAGATTACTACATTTTAATATACAGCAATAAGAAATGGGGATACAGCTCACAGGAAAGAGTGCTTGCTAACCATGTATGAAGTCCTAGGTTCAATCCCCAACAATGCCTCCCAAATAGCTATAGATGATAATATACTTAAAAGTTTTAAGGAAAGACAAAAGGATCATTTTTTGCCAAATATAACTACCAAATTTTATCCAAGATGAATCAGGAAACCTATACAGATCAATAACAATAGAAAAAAGTGAGGTCATATGAAATCCATAGGTAAAAAAAGGCATCAGATCCAGACAGTTCTATACCTTTGACTTTAAAATTTTTTATTTATTTATTTTATGTGTATGAGTGTTTTTCCTACATGTGTGTAAGTGCACCATGTGTGTACAAAGCCCACAAAGGCCAGAAGAAGGCTCTGATTTGCTGAAACTGAAGTTATGGTTATTAGCTGCCATGTGGGTGCTGGGAACTGACCCAGGTCCTCTGCAAGAGCAGCCAGTGCTTTTAACCACTGAGCCATCTCTCTAGTCCCATACCTTTGATCTTTAAGAAACAAGTACTGCCCAGGTATGATAGCACACACTTAATTCCAGCGCTTGGGGGCAGAGGCAGGCAGATCTCTGTGAATTCGAGACCAGCCTAGTCTATATAGTAAGTCTCAGGCCAGCTAGGGCTACACAGTGAGATGCTGTCTCAAAACAAAAACAAAAAAAGAACAAGTACTTTAAACTATTCCAGTATACTGGAAGAAAGTGACCTGACTACCTTATTGTATATTATACATCTGCAGGACACAACTCTGATTATAGTCATCATTGCCAACATCTAACAGAAGTAGAGAATTTGGAAAGATAGCTGGATGTATGACTAGCCATACATAATTTAAGAACTTTGGCCATACTAGAAATAAACACCTTATAAAAATACACCCTGTTTGGACTGAGGGGATGGCTTAGTAAAGTGCTTGCTGTGCATGCTTGAAGAACTGAGTTTGAATCCCTTAAACCCATATAAAAAGTCAAGCATGTGACAAATGGCCAAAAAGCAGAGAGTAAGAGTTGGAAGAGTGTGAGTCCTTGGTCAGGTCTCCTATATTGAGGTCCACCCACCCAGGGCTCAGGGACCATTGCAGAAGAGGGAACAGAAAGATTGTAAGAGCCAGGGAGGAGGTGCATGACCATATGGAAATAGTCCTACAGGCACCTGGGACCCTTCTCATACAAACCTACAGCAATGGTGTCAGCATGCACAACAACCATGCAAACTTAGGCAGACAAAAACCCAGCACAGACCTGTGGAAATAAACAGCAAGTCCCAATCTTAGTCTAAGAATTAGTGGCAGCCATTCCTGCTGGGTGAGGAAGAGCAGATCTTCTTGAAGGGAGAGACCCTAGATAGGCTAAATAAATCCTGGTGGATGAACTTGTACTGAGGGACATCTTGGGACAGTAACTTTACATAATAGGCCTTAATACAAGTGAC